ATTTCTAGAATTCACTCCTCAATATGTTGTCAAGTCTCTTTACACCTTAATTTTAAATAGTTTGAGAACAAAAGAAAAAGTGTTTCCATTTTGAGGGATTCCATTTAGATTAAGGAAATTTTTTAAATGCCGTTTCTTTTTATTTCTTTTCCTTTAGTAGTACTCTTGTTTTGGAAAAAGTAGGTATTTGCTGCAGGCAAATCCTTTTCTTTTGTTAATCCTAGCTTGACAACTGGGGGGTAAAAAACTAGAAAAGGATTTTAGAGCCAATGCTAATTGCATATATCAAATAGAATTGCAAAGAGCTTAATTGATTTTGAATATCATTGCAAAGCTATACTTAGATTGTCAGAAACCCATGTCAGTAGCTGAGAGCTATAATTTCCACAACTCAGATAAAAGCTTTCCAAAAAGATCGGTTCACTTGATAAATGAAAATGCATGTTCAAACACAAACACACACCCTATTCAGGATGATATAATAACCTAAGAAAAGGGAATCTGACCGTCATAAAATGTCAGAACTCAAACCTCATAGAAATATTCTAGTTGAACTACTTCATTATCACAAATGAAGATGAAACTCAGTAAAATCAAATGATTTGTCAAAAGTCAATTATTTGACAAAGCAAGACTTAGGATTCCAAGTCTAGTATACAAATGGTTCTTTTAGTTCCCAGAGGTGATGTGAGAGATGCCAGTGGAAAAAAGAGCCACACCTCCTTCCACTGCTCTGATGTATGTTTTATGCATTGAGCTTTCAAGTAAAATTTCACTTGAGCAAAAGGTCCCATTGCTCAAAAAAGCTTGAAAACAACTACACTAAGACATGATGGAGCTCTGCCATCTGGAGATGTGGTATATTATATGATTGACGTATTCACTCTTATTAATGGTATAAAAAAAAGGATAAGTGAACAGATCACTCTCAATTATGGTTGTATCAGAACCAAGGCCAAGGCCAACTCTGCCTTTTGGGTTAACAGTGATCAAAACAAACAAACAAAGAAAAAACAAACAAACAAACCCACAGGAATTCCTTTCCTGTTGACCACCTAACCCTGGCTAGATAAAAGAGACACCAAGCCTTTGAACTGAACCATGGCTGGTTGGGCTGGAATGAACTATGCTCTGTGTCTTGCATTGGATTCAAACCACATATTGGTCTTGTCTGCAATAGTACCAGGTATCAGTATGCAGGGGTAAGAAATTTTATTACTCAGCTCCCTATTCCGTCCTATCCAAGGTTACTGTCATTGAGAGGACTATATTTGTGCATGTCATAATTGTTTCACTACACTCTATGTACCCTGAGATAGAAACTATAAAATAGCCATTTTTATATCCCCATTACAATTATCACCACCACCTAACAATCAGTACCAAGTCTTGAGTATAGTGGTGATTTTGTAAGATGCTGAAATAGACATGGATTTCTAGAATTCACTCCTCAATATGTTGTCAAGTCTCTTTACACCTTAATTTTAAATAGTTTGAGAACAAAAGAAAAAGTGTTTCCATTTTGAGGGATTCCATTTAGATTAAGGAAATTTTTTAAATGCCGTTTCTTTTTATTTCTTTTCCTTTAGTAGTACTCTTGTTTTGGAAAAAGTAGGTATTTGCTGCAGGCAAATCCTTTTCTTTTGTTAATCCTAGCTTGACAACTGGGGGGTAAAAAACTAGAAAAGGATTTTAGAGCCAATGCTAATTGCATATATCAAATAGAATTGCAAAGAGCTTAATTGATTTTGAATATCATTGCAAAGCTATACTTAGATTGTCAGAAACCCATGTCAGTAGCTGAAGGGGTACAGTTTTGTCAGATTGTAAAGTAAGAAAGACATTGTGTTTTTGTGAGCATAAATGTGGTTTTATTTACCTCTAACACACCTTTTTTTCCCCTTGTGGCTCTGAAATCAGAAACTATGTAGATATGAGTATACTAGTATGCTTTGAAAATAAAGATTATAAATTAATCAGGCAGCTTAAAATATTTTATTAGACTGCAGAATTATTCCAAGTTGCACTCTCTCACCCTTCTTATTCCCTTTTTTTCCTTTACTCTTAAAATCAAGCAATCTGATCTTTATTTTCACAAAACATTAAGATCACTAGGACAGATCCTGAAGAGGGAAGAGTGCCCTAAAGCAAAAGAGAGGAATTCTTAGTACTCTCATGGGAAGCTTTGGCATGGCATTTAGAGAAGCTTTGGTGTGGCAGTTGGTCACCTTTCCGTGGTGACAAATGGATGACCCCTGCTCTGCATCTCTTGATCTCTGATTGGCAATCCCTGGTAATGTCTGCAATTAAAATACTTAGATTGTCTAAAAATATATACTATAACACAATTTAATAACTGCAGCACAATAAAAGAGATTATGTTTACCTAAAAAAGTCACTGTAATCCTTCCTGTTAACATTCACTTCTGGGTAGTGCCTAATGAATTAGTACTATGTTTGTTGTCAAATTTTGAATATTTCTATTACTCTTCTAGGAAGTATAGATTGTCTGTTTTGTTTTTTGTTGTTTGTCTGAAACATCTCCATCTAGTAGAGATTGTGATTTAAAAGTAATGGCAGTAGGGCAGGAAATGGAAGGGAATTGACCATGCATTGGTAATTGTCGAAATACATTTTCCTCTATTCTTTATGTTTGAACTTTTCTATAAATAAATAAGAGTGGAGAGAAACACTTGCTACTTTTTAGTTGAAACTAGAAATGGAAATAGGTAAAGGCACCAAGATCTAAGCTCACAGTCTGCCTTCTGCTGTAGATATAAGAAATATTTTTTGAGCACAAGAAATAAACATGTGCTCAACAGGCTGAACAGAAGAATGTCACTCAGGCAAACTGACTAGAGCAGCATTTGGCCTGGCTCACTTTAATATGAGTCTTAATGTTAGTGCAACAGCAACTTTATTCTGTACGTGGTTAATTTAGGTACAATTTCTTCTGATCCCAAAAGTATGGTCAATGTTAGTTTTCATAGACTAAGATGTGTTGAAGATTTTAAAAAATAGTTATACCAGAAACACCAGGTTTTTCATATTTGTCTTCCTAAATGAATTATGACATTCAGCAATTTTACTCATATCCCTGTGTAAATCATATTCTGCCATCTCTCTCAAATGCCCATTTTTATTTCCCTTTACATAAAACTAAAGGAGTTGTCAAATGCCTTTCAGAAAAAAATAAATAAAAAGAATTGTCATGGTATACGTAACTGTCAGGAGTCTAAGGCTTTATACATACCCTCATTTACCTAAATCACTTCTTTTCCTGCCTATCTTTTGTGTCTTTCTGTTTCTCCTTTGAAATTATTCTTCCTCATTATACAGTCTTTTAGGGTGCTCGCGATCTATTGAACTCATAACTTGCCATGTCCCTTCTTAAATTAAGTTGATATAAGTGGAGCCATTTTAATATAGAGCTAGGGAAGCCACTCCAGAGGAAATGACTTTTGCATAATTTCCTCAAACTTCTGGAATGTTTGAACTGGGCAAAATAACCTTGGGACTGGGCAAAACCAATATTGTATTCCAAACACTGTCAAGCTTACAGGTAAGTAGACATCCTGACTACTAGGACTGAAAACTAAGGACAATCTTTAGATCTAGCACAATCATGTATAGCTAAAAATTAGCTTACTAGCACCAAGAGAAATTCCTTTCTTCTATTCAAGTAATAATTCTCTTCTCTTTCTCATAAAAACCCTTTGCCTTCATCCCATAATCAGAACATTATTTGGGTTTTTGCTCGAATCATTTCTTCCCTAATAGCTATTCTTTAATCTCAAAGAAATGCTTGTTGCCTCTCACTTTGGCTTTTGATTTTTAGGTTAACAACATTACTATTCTCTTAGCCAATTTACCGATAAATGTTCGAGTGTCTGGATCTCCAAAGTGATGAACTACAAATAGTATAAGTTACAGGAATTCAAATAACTCTGGCAAACTCTACCCTTAATCACACTTGCCAAAATGGATCAATCAAACAAAAAACTCCCTTTCTTAAGCCTCTAAAAATACTTTCATAGAAAATAGAGTTAGAGATATCTTACCACCTCTTTTTAACTGTGTGGCCTTTTCGATATCTAAATTCTCTGTGTCTCATCATGTTTTTATTTATTGGTTTTTAGAAAAATTATTTGCTGTAGGTAAATTCATCTTCCTAATCCAATGTTTGATGCATGGGAGAATAGGGACAGATCATCAAAACCAGTAAAGGCTTTCGGAATCAATGTTAACTTTGTATCTCAAATGCAATTTTGAAAGTACTAGTAACAACAACAACAACAAAAATGTAACTATTTTAAATACTAACAGCTAATTTTAAATTTCCCTTGGGGCAATAATGAAGATGGGAATCAAGAAAATCCTAAAACTACTTACCATACTTCGTGGCTTCCAAGATGGCAATAGGGAGAGAGGATTGGCAAGATCCAATCCAATCCAACAGAAAGGCAAGGAAAAAGGCACAGAAAAAGAATAGGGTAACATTTGTGGTAGAGCAGTAAAGAACAATACACATGCATTGTTGCTGGTTTTCCAACCCTGTTCAATTATCTCTGAAGTAGAAATAGTTGGCAGTGCTCCAAGCACACTCTCTTTAAAGAGCCAGGAATACTTCTGCCTTAGGACCTTGACTGTTCTAACTGCCCCCAAATGACTCCCACCTGATTAATAGGACTAATCCCTCAACTCTTTCAAGCCTTTGCTCAATGTCACCTTCTCAGTGTGGCCTACTCTGAATATTCTATTTAAAATTTGACACCCTCCCAAGTTCTTTCCCCATTTCTGATTCCCCCCATGTGAATTATTTATGTTAGCCTGAACATACCCTCACTTTACATTCCCTGAGATAACCCTGCCTGTCGCTTCTCCTTTAAATTTTGTAGAAAAGGGGCGGAGCTCTAGCCGAGGTTCACAGAAAGGAGGGGCAAATCCATAGGCTCCATCCCCTTGCGTAGCAGGCGGAGGCCAGACGAACACGCGAGGTGTTCTCGCACTCTTCTCCGGAAGCGCGATTGCGGACGGAATTACCACGTGATTGTGACGTCAAGACTCCCGCGCCGGGCGGCCTGACGCCCTCGGCTGTCGTGGCGTGGCCGGTTTTCACCACGGTGTTGTGGCTTTTGCGGTCTTTTTCTCCAGACTACTTGGGCCTGGTCTCGGACTTAAGGATGTACCACAACAGTAGCCAGAAGCGGCACTGGACTTTCGCCAGTGAGGAGCAGCTGGCACGACTGCGGGCTGACGCCAACCGCAAATTCAAGTGCAAAGCGGTGGCGAACGGGAAGGTGAGGACTCCGGCTGCCGCCCCCTTGCCCTGGCCTCTAAATTCTTGAACAGCTGCGGGACATCCCCCACCTTCCCCACCCCACTGGCTCCAGGAGGCTCCCTGCACCCCTCCTCCTCTCCTGGCTCCGCAGGTGCGCGTTCATCTGTTTAATAAACAGGCAAGCACCTTGCCAGATGCTGTGAGTACAGAGACCGACGCCATTCCATAGTTTAGTGGTAGATAAGTAACCAGTAACATGGCGAAAAAGACTTTGAGGGATGTCTACGTATGGTGAAACTAGAGGCATTCACTCGTCAAACGGGAATGTCGGGGAATGCTTTTCCCAGTAGTTGATGCTAAGATGGGGAACGAACATTCGAGGAGGACAGAGCCACAGGTGCAAAGTGGGAGGTCAAGTTGTATGGCGGGTTGGTGGAATGTTCTAGGTCCCGTGTAGCGGGAGCTGAACACCTGTGCAGGAGAAGGTAGGAAACTTGCAAGTTGGAAGTAAGGAGTTTGAATTTTATGATCAGTGGTTGGGGAACCTTTGAAAGATTTTAAAAGGGGAAATTAACTTTATCAGATGCTATTCTAGGTAGACCTCTGGCATCCTGGCTTGTAGGGGGCAGGATGGAGGGAGGGAGGCCCGGGACCGTTTGCACAAATTAATTGACGGAAGATGGTTTGGGTTATGGCCTGACAGTCAGGTTCTTCCTGTTGTAGCGCCCAACTACCTTTTCTGACAGTGCCCAACACCCATTTAACACTGGCTTCCCTTCAAGTATTCCATGTCTCAGAACTGTTGGAACTGAGATAATATACTTTTTACCTTTAAGTCCTTCTATTGCGTATCACTTTGTGCTGCTCAAAGTAGTAGCATTGTGCTGTGTGCCAGGCAATATTCTAAGTATTTAGAAAGTGTTAGCTCTTTTAATACTCATAACTACCCCCTGAGGTATAGATTACTCTTATGCATGCTTTACAGCTAAGGAAACTGAAGAACAAAGAGGTTGAATAACTTCTCAAGGCTGTATTGCTAGTAAATGGCAGAATCGGGATTTGGACCCAAGGAATCAAGTTCCAGCATTCCTCCTCTAAAGCACAAGACCATGTTGTCTTTATAAAGTTAGCACTTGTGTTAGTTTCCCGGGGCTGCCATAAAAAAAATTACCACAAACTGGGTGGCTTCAAACAACAGAAATTTATTGTTTAACAGTTCTGGAGGCTAGAAGTCTGAGATAAAGACTGGTCAGTATTTGCTCTCTGAAGCTTCTAGTAACCTCAGGGCACCATTAACTCCAGTTTCTAACTCCATCCTTATGTTATGCTTCCCTATGTCTCTGTAGCTTCGCATGTTCTAATAAGTATACCAGTCACATTGGATTAGGAGCCAACTCTGCTCCAATGTGACCTTACCTTAACTAGTTACATCTGCAGAGACCATATTTCCAAATAAGGTTTTATTGTGAGGTACAGACTACTTTGTTTTATTGAGCTTCATTTTATTGTGCTTCATAGATATGTTTTTTCTTTTTGCAAACAGAAGGCAAGATCTTCCACCAGCAAAAAGATTACTATTTGCTTATTGCAGTTTAGGCAACCAAACCCATACTATCTCAGAGGTATGCCTATACTAGGGGGTTAGGACTTCAATATATTTTTTATTTGGGTAGTGTAATTAAACCAGTAACAGCACCTAATAATGGATATTTGTTGTAAAATTGTATTAATCATCTAGTGGATTCTGTAGAGAGTTTACAAAGATGAATAAAAGGTAATGTTTTCAGGCTCAGAATTATCCTTGAGTAACTTGTTGATTTTTACCTCAACCTGTGTGACTTAATTACTGACTGAGAAAGGAATCTTAAAAACTTCCAGCCATTAACAGTGTGTATCTTCTTTTTGATTTCTAAATAATGACATCAAACCTGGGAGCGTATGCACACATTCCATCTTGATTGCTTATACCTTATTAAAGCAAATGTCCAGCTGACATACTGAGAAATTGTGAAATTATGGTATAGTTTTAGATTATTAAATGTTTTCCTAAAGCTATTTTGTGTCATAATTAACAATTCTATAAAGAGAAAATTAGGTATGAATTTCCATTTGGCTGGAGATATAAACTAATCTGGATAGAAAAATATTTTTAAATTATTTAATTCACTGAACTTACGTTGTAACTTGTGATCTAAAGGTTCTTCCAAATGATCCAGTCTTTCTTGAGCCTCATGAAGAAATGACACTCTGCAAATACTATGAGAAGAGATTATTGGAATTTTGTTCAGTGTTTAAACCAGCAATGCCAAGGTCTGTTGTGGTAAGTTATGGTAGTGATGAAGTATAATCTCCTTCAGGTTCTGAAATCTGACCTTCTAAATTTGTAACTCAGTCCTCTATCCACTTAATTAAAAAATGCACCTTGGTTATATAAATATATAATTTATGTATTTAAGTTTTTGTCATATATTTTTCAATAATTGCCTTAAATTATGGATTCCTATACCATATCTTACAAAATGTTTCAAGTCTCGTTTCATAGTCAAAAGAATTTTGAGATCTGCTAGACATGTCATGACATCTTCATTATATAGAAAAAAAAATTACTTTTCCAAAGTCTTCAATTAATGAGCACTAGAACTGGGACCAGAACATAGACTAGTGCTTTTTTAAAAAACTCTATCACACACATGTTTGAAATAATACATTCATTAATCCTTTGTAATTATATACCCCAGCTGAAACTCATGCCATAAGGAATTTTTAAACCTGATTAGTAGAAGCTGGAGGTTTTCTTTGGGTAAAAAACTGTCTTGTAGTTGTTTCATATACATGGTTCTGAGGACCCCACTTGTCTCTGTGTGTGTTTACTATAGTGGGGCAATGGTGAGAGAAACAGGTAGTTAGAATTTCATGGCTATATGGATTTACTGTCTCTATAATTATTTCTATTGTATTTTTTTTATAGAAGATAGATTAACAAGCTGAAAGATAAAGAACAAAAGGAGTATAAAATATTTTTTCCTTATTTCACAGGTTTGTCATGAAGATCAAATATGAAAGTCTCTATTCATTGAAAGTATCTTAAATTTTAAAATTATAGAGAGTGAATAACTTAAGACACAATAGGGAATAAACCCCTAGGAAATAATCTCCATTTTTATAGTTGAAAAAATTGAAGATTATTGAAAATATCAAGTCCAAAAATATTCATAGTGTCTTAGTTTACCAGACCTTCATCTGAGAGAGCAATGATTCTGGAATAGTTTTAGATCACTCAGTTAGCTTCTATCTCCAGATTTAGTTCTGTTTTTTTTTTTTTTCCTCATGGAAGAGTACAAAAAGTAGTAGATTTAAGTGATTTTTTTTTTTTCAGATAAAGAAACTGAATCCTTGAGTAAACTTCTTTATGGAATTTGTCTTTATACAACATGCTTATTTATAATGGAAGAAGAATTTCGTTTTTAACATAAAATGACAAAATATTTCAAGGAAATATTCTTTTTTTCTAAAATAAATAAACGTTTATTTAATTGGTTCTAGCCAAATGTCATAGTAGCTAAAAGTACAGGCAGGTATTAGTTGAATCTAGCCTTGTCCCTTATTAGCTGTGTGACAAGTCAGTTAATCTCATTGATAATCAGTTTCTTTCTCTGTAAAGTAGAGATAGCAGTGCTTCATCAAGCTGTAAGGATTAAAATAAGATGATAGTTTTGTGCTTGGCACAGAACCTGGCACATGGGATGCAGTTAGTAAACAGTAGGTGATGCTGCTTCTGTTTGATTTGGCAGTAGTGATCACGGTTAATATCAGATCTGGAGTAGATTTAGAGAGAGGGTGTACTGCACCAACCGTGTTACGCTGTCGATATTCTTTACAAGATTGACTGGTTAAGCTGTGAACATTGTATTTTTTCTCCTTGAAATTTTTCTAATTTGGGCCACTTTTGTTACTCTGAATTCTTGAAACAACTTTTAAAAAATAAACCAGGAACCAGTAACCATAGGAAGGAGAACTCAGGATGGGTTGAGGAAGACAAGAAAAGGGTCTTTTGGCTCTGGCATCTCTATAGTAATTTATCACAATTTATTTGATTAAAGAAAAATTAACAAGTTTGGTATTTTATATGGATAACTTTTCAGAAAAACTTTTGATAAATAAGTTTTTTTTTTAACAAATTTAACGTGAATAGATTCTGATAGTATATGTATTTTTAACTTTAGGGTACAGCTTGTATGTATTTCAAGCGTTTTTATCTTAATAACTCAGTAATGGAATATCACCCCCGGATAATAATGTAAGTACAAGTCTTCTATTTATTGATTTTCATCTATGAAGACTTTTATCCTAGTGTGTGTGTGAGAATGACTTCCTAGTAAAGGATAATTTAGACTTGCATTCTATTCTGAACTTAAGATCCCTCATTATACTCCTTAAACATCTATAATAATACTTCCCTTCCTGTAATACTGATGGCATCTCAACTTTAACTTGCCCAAATTCAAATTCTGTTTTTCTCAAGCTAGCTTCCTTAACATCCCTTTTTGTTAGTGGCACCTTTCGTCTTCCAGTTAGTCCAAGTGAGAATCATTAGCAGTAACTCCTCCTCTCACTATATCCAATCAGTTTACAAGTCCTATAGCTCCATATTTATTACAGTTGAACAAAGGTCTTTTGTGATCCTGCTCTCTGCTGAGCACTATGCTTACCATTAAAGCTAAAATTGAAATTAGTATGAGACTCATCAAAGAGCTTGCTGTCAATCACATTGTCCTTGTTTACTTTTTCTCCTTTTAAGTCCAATTTCTACCAGTCTAAGTCAGTCCCTTGCTACTTCAATCTTGATTTTTGTGGTAATCTTATTACTACTTTCTAACTCTGAAATTTATGTAGTATCTTTGAGAGTTTCATAGGTTTCATCCTGAGGTAATAATCCCCTGTTCAAATGCGCTTGGAGACTTCTACCGACGGGCTTTCCACACCGTTCCTTTAATCTACTTTTCATCCCATACTCAAATGGTTCATATATGTGTACTATCGTATTTTTTTCTCTTCCATCTATATTTCATGACACAAAGTACTCATATTCTTCAATTATTCTTCCAGATATTTAAGTGGAACTATAGAAACTGCCATTAAGTTAGTAATGGTTGAATGCTGTGGCAATGTTGTATGGTTCAACCTAATTTTATAGTCTAATGGATTAAAAATTTAGGAAACTATTTGTCCCTCTTTTTAAGAAAAAAAAATGCCTTGCGGTGTCTAGCATAATCACGTGTGAATATTAGGCAATTTTAGAATGTACTTTTAGAAATAAAATGTTTAGATATTTTTCGGAGTATATACATTATCCCTTTGTGTGTGTGAGAAAATGACTTCCTAGTAAAGTGTAATTTAGACTTGCATTTTACTCTGAACTTAAGGTGCTTCATTATATTCCTTATGTTTTCCTCTAGGCTCACCTGTGCATTTTTGGCCTGCAAAGTAGATGAATTCAATGTATCTAGTCCACAGTTTGTTGGAAATCTACGGGAGAGTCCCCTTGGACAGGAGAAGGCACTGGAACAGATTTTGGAGTATGAACTGCTGCTTATACAGCAACTTAATTTCCACCTTATTGTCCACAATCCTTATAGACCGTTCGAGGGCTTTCTCATTGATTTAAAGGTAATCTTGTTGATATAAAGGAAACTAATAGAGTATACTCCTTTGCTAACGTTCTGTAACCAAAAGAATCCAAAATTATAACTCGTAATTATCTTAATTGTTACAGCTGGACCTCAAGGGCAGTATAGTTCTCAAACTTAGGTGTGCATCACCTGGTGGTCTTGTTATCTCATTGCTGGGCTACAGTTCCAGAGCTTCTGATTTAATAGATCAGCAAATACTGGTCCAGGGACCATAATAAGGACAATTATGAGTTTAGAGTAATGCTTTTAAAGACATAAGATAATTCTTTTTAACTGAAGTGTACTGTCATAGATCTGATTTAAAGAACCATAAAAAATTCTTCATTTTAAACTAAAAGATTGCTAAGTGACTTTTTAATGCATCGTGAACTGGAATCTATATGTAGGCATAAAAAATATAAATAAATAAACATTGATAAAAGCATCTTATTTTGTTTTGGCTCTAAAAGAGGATTTGGATGGTCTGAGTAAAGTCAAACAGAAGTTGGAAACTGGTTCACTAATCTCAATTGAGAGGTGAAATTTGGGGACCTTCTATATGCCAAACACTGATAAAGCCAGGAACAAGACAAGAACAGCTTCAGCTTTTATACACCTTACAGTCTAGTGGGAAGGACAAGCATATATACAGTGTGCTCAGTAATACAGAGGGGAAGTACAGGATACTTTAGGAGGAGATAGCAGATTGAGAAAAAGGGAAAACAGTTCTGAGAAAGTGTCATTTAAAATGAAATTCATAGCAAGAGTAGGAATTAAGTGGTGAAAGAGCATTCCAGTCAGGCCTCTCTGGTCAGAGGCCCAGATTCAAGAACCATGGTGCACTAAAGAACCTAAACAGCCTAGAGATTGCAGGGGAAGACTGCCATAGAATGCTGCCTGAGTGGAAGGCAGAGTCTAGACTGTGGAGGTGATGTTAAGGATTTTGAATAGAGCAATGGGAAGCCAGTGAAAGATTTAAATCTAGAGAGTGGCAAATCAGTTTTGCATTTTTAAAATAAATTAGGTTTACATCTTAAAAAAATCATGTTGGCAAGCTCATGCATCAGTCTCCATCAGGTATTTATTGCACATCTATATGTGTCATGATAATATAGAGAACAGGTTAGGATGGTTGAAGGGGTACCAGTTAATAAGCTGTTAGTTTGACTCCTGTAATAGCAGGGGGTACAGAGAGAGCTTGGGCTTCAGAGATAGTAGGCAGAATCAGTAGAGCTTGAGGTTTAATTGCTTGTGGAGAGTGAGAACAGAGGAGGAACTCCCAGGTTCTGGCCTGGGCACATGGTGGTATACTTTCTGATACAGGAAATACCGGCACAGGAGAGATTTGCTGATGGTGGAGGGTTTGGGGGTTGATCAATGTGGTTTGGAACATCATGAATTTCCATTGTCTGCAACGCATTGAATGGGTAGTCATTTGTGTCTGGAAGTCAGAGAGGATGGCTAGGCTGGAGGTACAGATTTGGGCATCATTGCCCCAGGAAAATTTAAAGTGGGTTGGCCATGAGGACCACTTAAAGGGTAGGTAGAGAGATATAACAAACTGGTAAGAAGATGGAAGAATATCCAGAGAGGTAGGACTTTCTAGAGAAATGAAGGGAAGTGGGTTACTTTTAGAAGATGAGTATGCGCAACTCCCAAGTCCTGCTCAGAATTCGGACAGAATTAAAGTAAATGGATAACATTTGCTGGATTTTGTGCCAGAAAGGTCATTTGTGATCTTGGTGAAATTAGTCTCTATGGAGTATGGAGGAAGAAAGCAGATTGGAGCCAGTTGGGGAATAAATAGGTGAGCAAACAAGTATACATAACTTGGATTATTAGATGGCTTGTCTTTGCAGTGGAAAAAGAAGATAGGATTTAGAAGATGGGGGAACTGCTGGAAATGAAGGAAAGGATGGTTTTTGTTTTGTGGAAGAAACTGATGTGGAAGGCTAGCAGTAAAAGAAAACTTAAAGGGAAAAGTGGAAAATAAGTAGCTCAGGTTTCTTTTTGGAGTAAGGTAGCGGGGCTGTCATGGGTTTCTCAGCAAGATAGAAGGGTTGGCCTTAGAATAATACCTCTTTTAAAAGAGGAGAGGGTGGATGAGGATAGTGTTTTGCCTGGGGATTTGGCAGTGGCAGGAAATGAGAGTATCTTTGTTAAAAGCAGAGATCATTTATGAGAGTTACGGAGTTTCTGAGAATTATTAATGACTTCAAGATGGAAAATGTTTAACATGGTCACTGAAAAATAGAACAAATTTTCTATGGAACATTATCATAGCTAGGCAGTATTGAAAGCCCTGCTGAGATCAACGAACCTATTTATTTCTTTAACAGCACCCAGAGATTTAGATATGGTTCCAATGTAGGTTTATTGAATTCACCTACTGTTGAATTTTGCCAGAAATGTGTTGGCAGCATATTGGGACAGGATATTCAGGAGAGAAAGGACCAGAGGACACTAGTGAGTGGAAGCAAGTAGAATGATAACAGACCAAAGATTACTGAAGAGGAAGTCAAAAAACAGCTGCGAAGTAATTGAGCAAATGTATCTGGAAGAGCAATGCGGTGGTCAGAGTGGAATGTCTGAATTTGTCGTATCAGAGGTCAGAGATTTTAGGATAATGACAAGACCTTGGCAGGACTACACAATTGTATGTGATATTTTGTTTCAGAGTATAGAAAAGATTTCTTACTGCTTTGGGACCTGAATGTTAATATGTAAATCCAAGGATTTAGGGCTCATCTTAAAAGATAAGAATTGTCAGGAAATATGGGAACTTCCATATTTCTTGGCATATTCAAAAATAATTCTGTTATCAGACCAAGGTTAATTTCCATTTACCTTCTCCAAAGTAAACTTTAAGTAGAAGGAATTTTAAATCAAAATGAGGGGGCAGTGTTTTAGTTCTAAATGTGGCCTCACATTGAATCACCTGGATTGCTTAGAAAGTTTTTACCTGGGAGTATGTAATTCTTAGGTCAACTTCAGACCCAGTGGAATCTCTAAGAGCCTCAATTGGAAAAGGACAAAAGGGGATTAACATAAATCAGAATAGCCAAGAACTATGCTGGAAACTTTAGCTATGTTACCTTAAAGCATATTCCTTATTTAAAGATTGTATTTTCAATACATGCTAATGGTGAATACGAAATATTTTTACATGAAAAGATTGTTGCCGGAGTATAGAAAAGGAGTTACTTTTATAAAAGTATCCTTCACTGAAGCACTTCCTGGTTAACATAAATATTTTGAACTGTCGTTGCTCCATTAAACCCTTGCAAGTAATAACATTTGCAAACTTTCTTTCTAGACCCGCTATCCTATGTTGGAGAATCCAGAGATTTTGAGGAAAACAGCTGATGATTTTCTTAATAGAATTGCGTTGACGGATGCATACCTTTTATATACACCTTCTCAAATTGCCCTGACTGCCATTTTATCGAGTGCATCCAGAGCAGGAATTACTATGGAAAGGTATTAATTTGTGTTTTAACTTAATTCAGACTCAGTTACTCAATTTCTTCCTGAAGTCTGAGTTTTTAAGGTTCATTTTGCAAATATAGTCCTTTATATCTCCTATGGCTGGAGGCGTTAGTGAGTGCAACTGAGGGAAGAAACAAATCACCTTTTAAGGAAATGTTTAAAAATTGAGTAAGATATCCTTGAGCTAAGATGATCCATTTACAACTAAGGTGGAAGTAAATCAGGTGATCCCGAAAGACTGATACAGCTAATAGTATATGACAAATTTAGAAGTTTTATGAACTGGTAAGGAACATGAGTATACAGAATTTGTCTGCCTTGTTTTGTCGTCATCCTCTTGCTGTAGAGAATGTGTGTCATATAGAAGTCAGTAAAGATTTGTTGAATGAATGAATAATGCTTTAGGGAATGGCCAAATGAATTGCAGTTGAGCTATAAATAGAGCTAATACATAAAAAAATGTACACTGAGAAGCAGGCTCTTTGATAAACACTTTACATGAATTAAGTTGATTCTTAAAGCATTAGCTTGTATACAGATTAACTAAATATTATACCCATATTATATTTATTTATAACTTAAGCACAGGCTAGCAGCAAATTAGACTTTAAAAATTTTTACATTTATTTTTTTTTTTAGCTTTTGAAGTTCTTCATTTCATTCCTAGAAATTGCTAGGGAAGAAAGATAAAACTTTCTAAACTTAAACTGTTCTGTGTTTGTAATCCTCCATCCATAATTTCAAAGTCCATTGGTATGGTGGCAGCAAACAAGCAGATGCATTTTAGTCTTTAATCAACTTAATGGGAATATTTTTCCTTCGGAAAATTAATGTTACAGATGATAGGATACTGTCCCAAACATCACTGGAGTGTGTATTTGGCATTTATGGTAATACACTAGGACATGAACAATTCTGTATTTCAAAACAAATCCAAGACAAGGGATTGTGGGCTTTTGTATCTTGTTTAATTTATTGTATGCCTCTTGTCTACAAATGCAGCTCACCAGCTGTATATAAATTTATATATTTAATCCGAAAATGGTTTATAGTCCATTTAATTTCTAAGCAAGCCTTTATTGAGTGCCTTTTATGTACCATGCACTGTACTACACTTTAGGAATATAATAATGAACAAGCTATGAATCCTAGCCCTAGTTTAGAACGATAGTCATGCAGAAAATTGATATCAGTTGAGTTTAAGTTTGGAGCCTCTAGTCTCTAAGGGAAGAAAGCCTCTTTTCCACAATTCAAATAACCAGATGATTGATAATCTGTTTAAGCATCATATCTTATGCAGTGTATATGCAGATTCTTCTATAGGTGAGATTTTTCTTAGAGGATTTTTTGTAAATTGAGAAGAATGAAGCATCCAGAGGTACAAGTTAGTTTATTTCTTCTTTAAAATTTACTTAGTTATAATTTCTGCTAAATTATAATTTATTTATGATAAGCGAAATTGAAATTGTACCTTGAGCTCATTTCAAATTAAATAAGCTTTTGTAGCATTCCCAGGAACTATAATCATTTGAGTACTTTTTCCTTTGATGAAATACTTTCGAATCATTAACTTCACATTTACTTTGGAATTTTTTTGAGTACAAACACATTGCTTTTATTAAAATTTTTTAAATTACAGACATACAGTATTAGTTTCAACATAGTGGTTGGACATTTATATAACTTACAAAGTGATCCCCCCGGTAATTCTAATACTCACCTGACATCATACATAGTTATTACAATAATATTGACTACCTTCTTTATGGTGTACTTTACATATCTGTGACTATTTTATAACTACCAGTTTGTACTTCTTAATCCCTTCAACTTTTTTTACCCAGCCCTCCCAAGCCCCTCCCATCTGGCACCATCAATTTATTCTCTGAATCTATGAGTTAGTTTATTGTTTTTTAGATTCTACATAAATATGAAATTATATGGAATTTGTGTTTCTCTGACTTATTTCAGTTAGCATAATACCCCCTAGATTCATGCATGTTTTCACAAATGCTAAGATTTCATTCTTTTTTATGGCCAAGTAATATTCCATTGCATACATGTACCATAATTTCTTTATCCAATTGTCTATTGATGGACCCTTACGTTGCTTCCATATATTGGCTATTGTAAATAATGCTGCAGTGAACAAAGGGCTACATGTATTTTTTGAATGAATGGTTTGGGTTTCTTCAGATTAATACCCAGAAGTGGGATTGCCAGGTCATATTGTAGTTCTATTTTTAATTTTTTGAGGAACTTCCGTTACTGGTTTCCATTGTGGCTGTACTACCGCTTTAGTCTCACCAATGGTGCATGAGGATTCCCTTTTCTTCACATCCTCACCAACTCTTGTTCGTTGATTTATTGATAGCTATTATGACAAGTGTGAGGTGATAGCTCATTGTGGTTTTAATTTGCATTTCCCTGATGATTAGTGATGTTGAACAGCTTTTCATATATCTGTTGGCCATCAGTATGTCAGGTTCTTTGCCCATTTTTTAATCAGATCTTTTTCGGTGTTAAGTTGTGTGAGTTCCTTATATGTTTTGGATATTAACCCCTTGCTGGATATATCATTGGCAAATATCTTCTCCCATTAAGTAGGTTGTCTTCGTTTTGTTGATAGTTTCCTTTGCTGTGCAAAAACTTTTTAGTTCGATGTAGTCCCATTTGTTTATTTTGTTTCCATTGCCTGATAAGACTTATTAAGAGTGATAGTTTACTCCCTATGTTTTTTTTTCTAGGAGTTTTATGATTTCGGGTCTTACCTTTTAACTCTTTAATTCATTTTGAGTTTATTCTTATATACGGTATAAGAAAGTGGTTGTTTCATTTTTTTGTGCATGTATCTGTCTAATTTTCCCAGCACCATTTATTGAAGAGACTATCTACCCCATTGTATATTCTTGCCTCCTTTGACATAGATCAATTGACCATATAGGTGTGGGCTTATTTTTGAATTGTCTATTCTGTTCCATTGATCTGTGTGTCTTGTTATGCCAGTACCATGCTTTTTTGATTACTATAGCTGTGTAATATAGTTTAACATCAAGTAACATGAACCTCTAACTTTGTAGTTCTTTGTCAAAATTGCTTTGGCTATTTGAGATCTTTTCTGGCTCCATATAAATTTAGGATTATTTCTCTAGTTCTGTGACAAGTGCCATTGATATTTTCATAGAGATTGCATTGAATCTGTAGATTGCTTTGGGTAGTATGGACATTTTAACGATATTAATTCTTCCTATGAGTAAGGTCTATGCTTCCATTTATTTGCCTCTTCACTGTCTTATAATTTTCCAAGTACAGGTGTTTTGCCTGCTTAAATTTATTCTTAGATTTTTTTTTCAACGCAGTTGTAAATGGGGTTGTTTTCTTCTCTTTGATAGTTCATTATTGGTGTTTAAAAATGCAACTGATTTCTGAATGTTAATTTTGTATCCTACTTACTGAATTCATATATCAGTTCTAACAGTTTTGGGGTGGGCTGTTTATGGTTCTCTATGTGTAGTGCCATGTCATCTGCAAATGACAGTTTTACTTCTTTCCAATTTGGATGCGTTTTATTTTTTGTGCGATCGCTGTGGCTAAGATTTCCAATACTTTGTTAAATAAAAGTGGTGAAAGTGGACATCCCTGTCTTATTTCTGATCTTAAGGAAAACGCTTTTAGCTTTTCACTGTTGCGTATGATATCAGCTGTGGGTTTGTCAAATATGGACTTTATTATATGGAGGTGTGTTTGCTCTGTTCCCACTTTGCTGAGAGTTTGTATCATAAATCAGTGCTGGATTTTGTCACTTTTTCTGTACCTCTTGATTATATGTTTTTATCAATTTGTTAATGTAGTGTATTACATTAATTGCAAATATTGAACCAACCTTGCATCCCAGGAATAAATCCCACTCGATCATGGTGTATGATCGTTTTAATATATATCTGAATCGGTTTGCTAATATTTTGTTGAGGATTTTTGCATCTGTGTTCATCAGGGATATTGACCTATAATTTTCTTTTTTTGTATTATCTTTGGGAATCAGGATTTTTGCATCTGTGCCTTGTAAAATGAGCTTGGGAGTCTTCCCTCCTCCTGAAATTTTTGGAATAGTTTGAGAATAGGTATTCTTCGAATGTTTGATAAGATTCACCTGTGAAACCATCAGGTCCAGGACTTTAATTTGTTGGGAGTTTTTTGATTACTAATCAATTTCGTTAGTACTTATCGATCAGTTTAGATTTGTTTCTTCTTGACTCAGTCTTGGGATATTGTATGTTTATAGGAGCTTATCCATTTCTTCCTGATTGTCCAATTTGTTGGCATACAATTGTTCATAGTATTTTCTTACAATCCCTTGTATTTCTGTGGAGTTATTTGTCACTTCTCTTTCATTTCCGTTTGTTTATTTGGGTCCTCTCTTTTTCTGGATGAATTTGGTTAAAGGTTTATCAATTTTTTATCTTTTCAAAGAACCAGGTCTTGGTTTCATTGATCTTTTGTATTTTTTTTATTTTTATTTTTTAGATCATTTATTTCTGCTCTCATCTTTATTATCCTTCCTTCTACTCACTTTTGGCTTTGTTTGCTGTTCTTTTTCTAGTTCCTTCAGGTGTAAGGTTAGATTGTTTAGTTGAGAATTTTCTTGTTTCTTGAGGTAGGCCTGTGTTGCTATGAATTTTCCTCTTAGGACTGCTTTCGCTGTGTCCCATATATTCTGAGTCATTGTGTCTTCATTTTCTTTTATCTCAAGGTATCTTGAGTTCTTCCTTGATCTCATTATTAACCCATTCATTGTTTAGTAACGTATTATTTAGCCTCCATGTGTTTGAGTATTTTGGGGTTGTTTTTTTTTTTTCATTGTAACTGATTACTAGTTTTATAACATGATTGGAGAAGATGGCTGATATGATTTCAGTATTCTTAAATTTTTTGAGACTTGCTTTATGGCTTAACATGTGGTCTATTCTGGAAAATGTTAGAACTGCACTTGAATGAATATTCTGCTTTTGGGTAAAATGTTCTAAAAATATCAATTTAAATGTATCTGGTCTGATGTTTCATATGAGGCCACTGTTTCCATGTTTATTTTACTGCCTGGATGACCTATCCTTTGATGTCAACGCATTGCTAAAGTCCCTTGCTATTACTTTATTACTGTCTCTCTTTCCTGTTATGTTTGTCAATATTTGTTTTATATATTTATGTGCTCCTATGTTGGGTGCATAAATCTTTACAAGAGTTATATACTCTTGTCACTTTAATCCCTTTCTCATTATGAAATGTCCTTCTTTGTTTCGTCATAGCCCTTATTTTAAAGTCGATTTTATCTAAGAATTGCTACGCCAGCCTTTTTGTTTGTTTCCATTTGCATGAAATATCTTTTTCCATCCCTTTCAGTTTGTGTGTGTCTTTTGAAGTGGGTCTCTTATAGACAACATATCTATGAGTCTTGTTTTCTTATCCACTCAGCTACCCTATGTCTTCTGATTGCAGCATTTAGTCCATTTACATTTATAATTATTGATAGGTATGTAGTTATTGCCATTTTATTGTTTCTGATTGTTTTGTAGTTCTTTCCTGTTCCTTTTTTATTCTTTTGCTCTGTTCTCTTGTATGTTGATGACTTTCTGTAGTGTCGTGTTTGGATTCTTTTCTCTTTATTTCTTGTATATTTTTTGTAGGTTTTTGGTTTGTGGTTACTATGTGCTTCATATATACCAAGCTATCTTTATAGCAGTCTATTTTAAGTTGATGGATGGTTAAGTTTGAACACATTCTAAGTCATTACCATTTTTACTCACCCCCTCCATGTTTATTTTTGTCATTTTTTTTTTACTTCATTTGTGTGCTTGTGAGCTTCTCTTAATTTATTATCATAATTACACGATTTTGTTTTGCCTTTTAACCTTTGCACTGGTTTTTTGGTTGGCTGATCCACTGTGTTTGTCAGTGAGAATTTCTTTGCTATATTTTCTTATTCATATTTTTATTTTTTCTTCTAAAGAAGTCCCTTTAACATTTCTTGTAATACTGATTTGGTGATGATGAACTTCTTTAGCTTTTTCTTGTCTGGAAAACTATTTATACCTTCTGTAATTCTAAGTGATACCTATGCTGGGTAGAATAATCTTGGATGTGGGTCCCTGCTTTTCGTCACTTTTAATATTTCAGGCCAGTCCATTCTGCCCTGCAGAGTTTCTGTTGAGAATTCAGCTGACAGTCTTATGGGAGCTCCCTTAAGTGCTTTTCTCTTGCTGCTTTTAAGATTCTCTTTGTCTTTAACCTTTGGCATTTTAATTATGATGTGTCTTGGTGTGGGCTTCTTTGGGTTTATCTTATTTGGTTCTCTGTGCTTCCTGGACTTGTATGTCTTTCCTTTGCCAGGTTAGGAAAGTTTTCCATCATTATGTCTTCAAATAGGTTTTCAATCTTTTGCTCTCTCCTCCTCCTCCTACTGTCCCTATAGTGTGAATGATACACACTTGATGTTGTCCCAGAGGCCCCTTAAACTATCCTCATTCTTTATTTTTTGCTGTTTCGATTGGGTGTTTTCTGCTACTTATCTTCCAGATCACTGATTTGATCCTTTGCTTCATCTAATTTGTTGTTGATTCCATCTAAAGTATTCTTTATTTGTTATTCGTTATTTCCGATTGGTTCTTTTTTTTATGGGTTATATCTCTTTGTCTAAGTTCTCACTGAGTTCATTTATTCTTCTTCTAAGTTATTAAGCATCCTTATAACCAGTGTTTCGACTTTAGTATCTGATAGATTGCTTGTCTCCATTTCATGTATTTCTTTTCCTGGAGTTCTGTTGTGTTCTTTCATTTGGGATGTTTCTTTGTCTCTCTTTGGCTACCTCCCTGTGTGTGTTTCTGTGTGTTAGGTAAATTTGCTACATCTCCCAGTCTTAGCTGGGTGGCTTTATGTAGTAGGTGTCCTGTGGGCCCAGTGGTACAGTCTCCTCGGTTACATGAGCCAGATTCTCTAGGGATGTCCCTTGTGTGGGTTATATATGCCCTCTCATAGTTGAGCCTTGATTGCTGTTGACACATCAGTGGGTGGAATTGACCCTCAAGACTGACTGGCTCTATGGATTGGTCATGACTACAGTGGACAGGCTGTTATGCATAGGCTGACCCCACAGGGTGAGATTCACTTCAACAGGGCTCTGGTGCCTGCCAGGTCCACCCTTTGGGTCTGTCATTTGTGGAACTGGTTGGGTGGTGCTTCGGTGTGGTCTGAAGCTGGACACTGGTGTGTTGGATCTGGGGCCCTTGGCGAGAGGGGCTCCAGTGCAGGCCAAGGTTAGCTACTGCCTGTGCCCAGCCTGGGGCCACTGGGAGGGTAGGAACTACAAAGTGACATGTGGTTGGTAGCTATCTGGGAGAGGCAATGCGGTGAATCAAGCCTGGCTGCCACTATTGCAGGCTCAGGGCCCCTTAGCATGAAATAATAGCATGCTGAGCCCAGTCACTGGTTATTTGGGTTTGTGGACCTTTGACAGATTTTAGAAAAGTCTACAGTGTGGGCCGAGGCAGGTTGTTTGTATGGAAGGGCCACTGAAAGAAGTTCTGACTGGGTGCCCAAGTTGGGTTGGGTGGGGTCTCAAGGAATCACCAGGGCAGGGCAAATGGTGTTAAGCAGATTAATGGAACATTTATATTTGGCAGACTGGGTAGAGGAAGATGTCAACAAAGGAATCATTGCACTTGCTAGCACGTCCCATCCTGGAGAGAGCTGCTCTGCTCCCTGACTTTCCAGCCCTTGCTCTGAAGCTATTCAGTTTCTCCCCTTATATCCCTCATGCTTTTCAAGCTGTTGCTCCTGTGCTAGAGCACTGAGCGAGTTTGTGCATGGTCTTTTTAAGACCTGCAACCCCTAGGTATCTAAAAGTCTGTTGTCTTTCTTGGACACAAACCCCACTGCTTTTCACAGCCAGATGTTATAGGGACTTCTTTTACCAGCACTGGTGTTCCAGGCTTGGGAGCCCAGTGTTGGGCTAGGATTCCCTTGCTGCTCAGGGGGTCCTCCACAGCCAAGATATCCCTCTTGATTCTTAATTGCCACACCATGGGTGTAGGACCAGCCCATTCACCATCACTTCCCCTCCTACCCATCTCAGTGTGGCTTCATCTTTATATCTTTGGTAATAAGAATTCTATTCAGTTAGACTTCAGGTGGTTCTCAATGATGATTGTGATGTAATTTAGTTATAATTTTGACGTGGTTGTGGGATGAGGGGTGAGCACGGTGTCTACCTACTCCACTACCTTGACCGGAAGAATAGGTTATTGCTTTTACATTTATTGCTAATTTCAAAAAGGGAAAGCCCTTGTGCTGGTGATGGTTTAGATTATAATTCATAGGATGCTGCGTTGTTAGTTCTGGGTTTTCTTTTTCATTGTATTTAGATCTTTATTTCTCATTTCCTAGTTTGACTTCTTAGATGTTCTTGCTTGCCTATGGATTTTTTTTAAGTCAAAATATTAAAATTCTAATTCAAGATCGAGATTAAGAATTGCTGCCTTAAAGTTTCAGAGGTGAAGAATGTGGTCAGTTAACTCTTAGAACAAAATACATTACCCTTATGCTTAAGTTGCGAGTTTTAGAAAAAGGGGAAAAACTTACTTTGAATTACTGATAACCAGAAATGTATTAAGTGAATTATTCCCACAGCAGATAATGAAGATATAATATCAAGCTTAGTTATCAAAGTAATGTAATATAAATAACCTGGGTAGTTTAAAAGACATATAGCAACAAAATTTCTTAAAGAACTGTCTCTATTTTTGTAACTATTTCATCCAAGAGAGAATTTTTTTTTGCATTCATATTTGAAAGATTACTTCTGCCTTGAGAATCTATTTGGGCTGTTATCAATTATAGATCAAGTACAAGTACATAAAACCTGAACTTGATCTATAATTGATAACAGCCCAAACATTTAAATATAGGAATTTTACTCTCATACTACGGTCATTGGCTCTGAGGAAATCAGATAACTAGACTTTATATTCACTTATGGAAAAGTATTAACACCTTTGATTTGGACTTGGTGCAGATAAGATGTAATAGATTTGTAAAGTATCGAGGTGATATTCTTACTGGTTTGAATAACTGTTAGTCTCAAGAACAACTGTCGTTAACATGGACTTGGTATTAAGGGGAGAGAGAATCCTTACTAGTATCAGGTTCTACCTCTGTTACTTCCTAGCTTTGTGACTTTGGGGAAGTTACAAGGTCATGACTTATCTGTCTCTGACTCAGATTCCTCATCTGTAAAACGAAGTTAGACTTATAAGGTTTATATATTAAACACTTAATGTTAAAAGTAATGACCATTGCTACTGTTATTTTCATACCTCTGAAAGCTTATGTTATAGAAATTATTTTGAACATTAACATTTTTTAACCTAAGTTGTAAATCCGTAAGACCATAAGAGTTATAGATTATAGTTTTGTAGAGTTCAAAGTATTGTTATTTAATACTTTTTAAATAAATTAACTTTAAAATTGACCTTGATGAAATGAACATGGAGAAAAATATGCTGTCAGGTTTTCTCGAGATGCTGTATGTGTACAACAAATTAAATTATTTTTCCTTTCTTACCAGTTATTTATCAGAAAGTCTGATGCTGAAAGAGAACAGAACTTGCTTGTCACAGTTACTAGATATAATGAAAAGTAAGTAAAAGAATACAAAATATTACACTGCTACTTTGTAAATAAATATCTTGATACTTGAGATAACAGGTTATTGTTTATATTTACTTTCATCAAATTATGGTATAGAAGCATGAAGCATGTATTGGTGAGAAACAGAAGTTATGTGACAGGACAGTTTTCACGCATATAGAACTTAGGAAAGTAAAAATATCCGATTCAGAAAAGGTTGAGATTCAAAACGGTCCTTTTAAAGTGTACACAAATATGAGATAAGCACTGAAAAAGATCTAAAGGGAACTAAATTTAAGTATAATATTTAAATTTGGAACTTGTGTTATAGGTAAATCAACTTTAACTAGTTAACATGTGTTATTTGTTAGTTATTTTGTTAGCTGATATTACAAAAACTATGGTTCTTAACTGGGTACAACTTTTGCAATATCTGGAGACATTTTGGCTGCCATAACGTGGGGACTAGTGGCTGCTACTGGCATCTAGTGAGTGGAGGTAAGAATGCCATTAAACATAAAATTCACATTAAACCCTCTAGGTAGGCTGTAAAATGGCCCCTCAAAGATGTCCCTGTCCTGATCCCTGGACCTGTAAATTTTACCATATATGGAAAAAGGAGGGAGTTGCATATGTAATAAAGGTAAGAATCTTGAGATGGGAAAATTATCTTGAATTACCCAGGTAGAGCCTAAACCCAGTCTCAAGAGTCCTTATTAGAGAAAGGCAGAGAGAGAAGTTTGACACACAGAAGGCAGTGTGAAGACAGCAGAGAGAGAGTTGAAGATCCTGGCCATGAAAACTAGAGTAATATGGCCACAAGCCAAGGGATGCAGCTACCAGAAACTGGAATAGGGAAGGGGAATGGATTTTTCCCCTAGAGCCTCCAGAGAGAGAACATAGTGGCTCTGCCAACATTTTGATTGTGACCCAGTGAAACTGATTTCAGTCTCCTTGGCTTCAGAACTATGAATACATTTTTATTGTCTTTAAGCCTTACTAAGTTTGCAGTAATTTTTAATAGCCTCAGGAAATAATAGAGCCTAACAAAGAATTATCCAGCCCAAACTATAATGCTGATATTGAAAAACCCCATCTTAAGGGTTGAGTAGAACCTCCAATTACCCGATTGGCTAGGTATTCAGCCCTTTCTATTCTTCATTCTTGTCCATGCCACACTGAGCGCTCTTGGATCTCTGGCTACTCTCTAGGATTAAGTCAATTGTCTCCAAAACATTTTGTGCCATTGTTCTTAATTAAATTTGTAGTTTACTGAATAAACCAATAAAATATGGTACCAAAGATCTTGATTTTGAGTGATAGTAAGTGGATGTAATTTTTATATTTTAAATGTTAAGGTGCTTTAGGACATAGAAGTATCATTTCTTGATACCTACTTGAAATGATCTTGAGCACTTCCCTCTGAGAACGATAGATTTGTGATTTATCTTAAAACTGTAGGTCTTCAGTTATACCACTAGAGGGTTCACATCCAAAGCTAATTGTAACCTGGCATTGATAATTAGGATCGTGGAATTTAGTAGGTAGTAGGGGCCTTAACAATAACCCACTGTGCTCATTTTATAGCTACCAGTTTTATTATTGATTTCATATCGGTACCTTATTTTTTACTCCATTTACTTTAATACAAAATAAGAATAGCTCTTGATAAAATACTCAGAGCTTTAATGACATTATATCTTATTCATGATATTTCAGAACAAAGGTATTGTCCAAAGGGTGTCGAATCACAAGTACAAATTCAATTGAAAACACTGCTTTACTTGCATTATGAAGTAAGTCAGTGGCATAGTCACCCATTTGGAGCATGTGGCTCGCTAATAATAAGCCCTGCTTCTCTCATTTCCCTGATAAATCTTGAGATTTATGTTCTTTAGTTTATTGTAGTTGAATAACATAAAAAGTCCAGGTAGAGGATGTTTCTGCAATTTTAAAGTCCTTGCTTTTAGCCTAAGGAGGACATTGTTTTCTTGGTGATGGTTTGACGTATTGGTTCTATTAAAGCAAAGGATCACCGTTTGACACGTTTTTACTAAGCAATCCTCCCTTTATTATAGGTTGTGTAGTAATGGTTTCCTTTGTAAACAAGAGGTACACTCTTGATCTACCATCTATAGGATAGAATGTTATGAATGTGGTTGTTGGCAGGGAACAAAGCATATTCGCTAAACCATGTAGAGATTTTTAAAAAGCCTTGAAACAGCAAAATGACAATGGGATTTGAAAAAAATACTAGATTGTAGAGCATGCTTATCTTTATGCTAGACATCAGGGGTCCCCAACCTCTGAGTTGTGGACCGGTACCAGCCCATGTCCTCTTGGGAACTGGGCCGCACAGCAGGTGAGCCGTGGGCAAATGAGCAAAGCTTCATCTGTATTCGCACTGCTCCCTGGCACTAACACCACCACCTCAGCTCCACCTCAGATCAGCAGGCATTGGATTTTCATAGGAACACCAGTCCTTGGTGCCAAAAAGGTTGGGGACTACTACTATACATGATATGGGCTAAGCAGCCGACAGCTATAATTACTTGAGCTAAAAGTATAGTGTTCATTGGATTTTAATGCAGAATACATATCCTGATAAGGATAATCACATAATTTCAAGAGTGTTATGCTGTTCCCATAACGAGATAGAAAAATATTATTCAACTCCCTTATGAGAACAAAGCTTTTTATTGTCTAGTATAAATCTTTTTTTTCTTTATCTCCACATAGGCATGAGAAACTTGGTAAAAAAATATGAACCACCCAGATCTGAAGAAGTTGCTGTTCTGAAACAGAAGTTAGAGAGATGTCACTCTGCTGAGCTTGCACTTAACGTAATTACGTAAGTAGTTGTGACAGTGTTTTTCAAGAATAGATATAATCGTTATCCTGTCCATGAGACAGTCTTTCTAGGGAATCCCTGAACCTCTTCTTGTCCTTTTAATCTTTGGATTCTTTGCAGGTCTGAGATCTCGTCTGAGGAACAAGTACACTGTTCTGGACTTATTTCTGTTAGCTAGAATAGGGAAACTTGGTGTATTTTCTTTCAGTAGTAAACTTTATATTGAAGATAGAATAGGAAAATGTACTGTTGGGTGTTCCTTATGATCCATAATGTCTCTTACTGATTTGTAGGCTGAATGTGCAAATCACCATATTCTGGCTCTTTATGCTTTGCAGAGTGAAGGATCTGCTTCAGCTTTTAGGAGTGTTAACAGTTGGGGATCTGGGCAGGTAATAGGAATGGTAAAACTATTTTCTGTGGAATGCATTCTGATTCAAAAGTTCTACCTTATTTGTTAAAATGTAGTGGGAGTTAGATCTGGCATGTTAAGATGCATTTGAGATGTTTTTGATCTCTATAATTGTTGAATATATGCTACTATAGGAGAAGCCAGAACAGCATTCCAAGGATTTAAGGTACACATGATTCGAAGTCTTTAACTATATGGTATAATACAATATCCAGAGATTTATTAAGTATACAAAATATGGGACTATTTATAACTGCAAACAGTGGTTTAATATGAAACTTAAAATTGGTAGATTGCATCCTGGGTTTCATTGGTAGCTAAGAGGGATGAAGGTGTGGTTACAGAGAAATAAACAATGTTGACTTTAATGAATGAAATAGTAGTCTCTCCCATATCTGCAGTTTCACTTTCCATGGTTTCTGTCAATTGCTGTCCAAGAATATTAGATGGAAAATTCCAGAAATAATTTATAAATTTTAAATTGTTTGCTATTCTGAGTAGCGTGGTGAAATCTTGCCATGTCCCACCCAAGATGTGAATCATCCCTTTGTCTAGCATATCCACACTGTACATACAGTAGTTATTTTAAAACTACATAAATTATAGTTATAATTGTTACATTGTTATTAATCTCTTACTGTGCCTAATTTATAAATTAAACTTTATCATAGGTATGTATCTATATAAAAAGATAGTATATATAAGGTTCGGTACTATTTGAAGTTTCAGGCATCCATTGCCGGTCTTAGAACGTATTCCCCGCAGGTAAGGAGGCACTAGTGTATTGCAGCACTGATAATGTTTTTTTTCACACTGATGGGCTTAGACCAGGGGTTGGCAAACTATGGCTCATAGAGGTCAAATCCAGGCCACTACCTGTTTTTAGAAATAGTTTTATTGGAACATAGCCACACCCATTAGTTTGCATATTGTCTCTGGCTGTTTTCACACTACAGAACAAGAGTTGGGTAATTGTCATGGAATCTGTTAATGGCCTACAAGTCCTAATACATTTACTATCTGTCTCTTTAATGAAAAAATTTTCAGTCTCCAGATCATGGAACTACTATCAATCCTAAACTAGTTAGTTAGGTAACTGAATGGATCCATATAATCTAAACTTTCTATCCGCTTTGTACCATGCAAAGCAAATTCTGTACACCTGAGTACTTGAGGGGTGCTTCTCAAACTGTAAAGAATTATTATTTTTCTTTAAATTCATTATAGATCTATACTTTTGTAAACTATAATGACATTAATTACTAGAAAAATGAATAAAGACAATATAAGCTTCAGTTTTATTAAAGTCAAAATTAATCTCAAATTTCTATAAGTTTCTAAACACACTTATTTTCTGTATTTATCTTATTACACAATGCAAATGGTTCATGGACCACACTTATAAGTACTACATTAGGATAAACTATTTGTTTTCCTTGGTCTTCAAAATGCTTTTATCTTTTTCATTATATAAGTAATGACTATATCATTAAAGTCATTCAATACAGGTAAACCAAAGTTCTATTTGACCAAAACCCAAATCTCAATTGTAACTGCACTGTTGTAACTTATAGTGTTTACCTTTTTGCCAACTCTTTCTCTGCATCTGTGTACGAAACAAGTTTTTTCTTATTAATATTTTCATATATATTATACAACATTTAATAGTATCAGTCTTTAACTCTTGCCTGTCTAGGTGAAAAAGCAGCATCACATTAGTATTTAAATTTGCATTTCCCATTACTATGAGGTATTAATGTTTCTGTGTTTAAGTCATTTGTGTTCTTTATTCCTAGCTTATAACCCTTGATCAATTTTGCGATATTTTGTTTTGTAGTTCATTTTATATATACTCATCTTTTTATATATTCTATAGCCATTCTCTTTTTTCTTTTACTTTGTGATATATAAATTTGTCCTTGTTCTGTGCTTTTACCTCCAAATAATTTTTCTTACCCTAAATAAATCTATAATTTTGCCTTTTGTCAGCTGTTAAAACCATTTAGAATTGTTTGTGAATGGTGTGAGGTAAAATTTTAATTTTTTCCAAATAACCTGCCGTACCAGCCATTTAATATTTCATAATTTCTTATTTTAAATATATTAAATTTCTATATAGTTTTACCTGTCAGCTGTAATCATTTTAATGTTTAAATCCTTGCTAATACCATACATTTAATTACCATAGCTTTTATATAGTGTTTTGATGAGACTTACACAAAATCTCCATACTTCTGTTGTTTTTTTGCTGTTTTTGCATAATCTTTCCCAAGTCAGAGTTAGACAAATTCCATGAAAATTTCTACTAAGATTTTTTCATTAGAATTATGTTGAATTTAATGATCAATATGAAAGGTATTGTCTTCCTATCCATAATTCTTTTTCTCTTTCCC